AAAAAAATCGGAATTGAGCATTAAGACCTGCAGTGTGAACGTAGCCTATGTTCAGTATTTATTGATTATCTGTTTGTTGCATTTTGAATTTCAGATGTGTAAAAGTCTCCCTAGGTTTGTTGCTGTGTGCTCAAATGTCAGCTTTGGCCTGATAATTTTAAACTGGTCTTTGAGGTTGAGATGGAAGTCTTTACCGAAAGCCGCCGTGTAGATTTATACAATGTTTCCAAGGCAAAGCACAAGAACAAGTAGTAAAAATAGCAGCGGCGGTACAGCTTTGCAGCCAAGTTGAAAATGTTTCCGGCGAACATCACTGATGTCTAATCAGGAAATTAATCAAATCATGAGACAGCCAACGAGCAATGAGAGAGGACGGGTGGATTGCTCAGCAGTGATACATAAATATGATGGTGCATTTGAGGCTTTCACTCTACGCTGGTAGAAGTAGCATTATCAACTACTGAGGTAGCCTACGTTTAGATATTGAGGTATTCTTCTAATGTTACATCTATGCTTTTCACTGAAATGCCTGAAATCTACTACAAAAAGATTCAAATAATGTGGAATGTCATTCTACTTTCTGATATTTATTAGAGATATTTTTTAAACTAGTTGAACTGAAGATTTGTTACAAAGAGCGTTGAATAACAAGTTTTACACAAACACCTGAGAATTCTGATAATAGACTGGGTCCCTGAAAGCAGCATTACCACCTGATCCATGAAGATTTTTATTCCATGAGACTCCTCGTAGGAATCTTGTTTTGCATTTGCAGTGGTAGAAGAAAGCCACTGCAGTCTGTTTAAAGGGCTGAAGTCGCACCGTGTTAGCTGCTGTTAAACGACAGTCTGTTACAAGCTGAGTGAAGCACATGTAAGAATGTGGAAAAGATGAATATTTGTTTTATATTTGCAAATTTGAGCTGTAATAAATTAAACTAAGACACTGATAACCCTTGTATATGTGTTTTCTTTCCTCTCTGTGTTTGTGCTGTTTGTCTGTTTCATAAATTAAAGCCCTTTTTTGTCTAAATATTAAGATCAGCGAGTGATGGATGGACACTTTAGATTCAAACACTTCCCACAGAAGAAAAACACAAGTCAGCTGTTAAATACAAACATTTATATTCCAGCTTCCTGGTTGGAAAACAGTATAAAACATCATTTATGTACAGCTGCAGTAGAAAAGGAACCTGACAGTATTCTTGTCTGTATGACAGACGCTGCACAGACACCAGGGTTAGTGTCACATCTCTGATGCAACACGCTGACCTACTGACACAGTTTTCTTGCCTCACTCAAAAACATTTCACCAATCAAAAGAAATTTTAAAAAAACTAAATGAATTGAAACGCACATTTAGAACTTAGTCAGTGTTGCTGGATTTGTGCGTCTGCAGAAGCAAAGGCTTCTTCCTTTGATTAATAAAGGGGAAAATAAGTTTCATGGCAGCAGTTTACTGCTCCGTACTTCAGTGAAAAGCTGAACAGAGTACTGAAATATGTACTTAAGTGGTTCAAAGGTCTGCAGATGGTCTACTCTGCAGACTGAGTGCAACCTTAAATACTGACTGACTCATGAGCGGCTTTGACTGAGGCTCAGATTGTTGGTGTGGGAGCGGCTCTCCTGTCAGAAGTCATTACCGTCACCAGCAGAGCTGAAAATACTTTAAATACTTTTACAGTATTTTTACCACTTGGGGGAAAACAGACACTTAAAACATAATTCTGAGTTTTTGCTTAGTGCCAAAAACCTTCCTAAAGTTAAGGTGGACCTGCCCTTTTAGAGCCGACCCATATTTAACCCTAGTCTGGTGACAGCTGATGACTCGGTTTATGGTGCTGCTGTGGTAACAATGTCATACGGTTCGTGTCACCTTCAGGTCTGATGAGCAATCTGAGTGATTTTCTGCAGCATTTCCTCCGACTCCAGCTGCTCGAGAGTCAGCAGAGACAAACCCAACTGGTCCTCCTGGAGAGAAAGAGAGAAGCAAGCATGGCTGCCTGGTCAGCTGTTGTCCGGAAACGTCAGCGCTCATAAGAGCTGCGCAGCTCCGTGCAATTCAAACTGCTTTACAGCAGCATTTATTCATCTGATCAACAAAGTCAGGTGGCTCATGATCTCATGATCTAATGACTCCAACAACTCGTCAGACACTTTAAGATTCATTTGCTAGATTATAAAACTTTTCCACATTTAAGGTATTAAATTATAACATTAAGTTTAATTTACATCTACAGAAATGAAGCAGACTCGTAGACAAGAGGACAGATGTTTGAGCCAATCACAGGGAGAAGATCACTAAACCCACTGCTTTGCTCCTTTTAAAGCCAGTGTGTTGTCCTGTGTTTGTTTACTCGTTGCAGTGGTGCTTGTGATGCTTGGCGGGTCGTACCTGTCTGAAAGGCTGAGCCATCTGCCGCAGGAAGTGCTTGGAAAGCTGCACGGCCTCGTCCACGGTGAGGTTCAGACTGCCGTCGTTGATGTGCTCCTGAATCCAGCGGGGTAGCTTCCCACGTTTGTCTGCTCGTGCGTAACGCTGCAGAGCACAGAGGAGGTTAGTACGGGCTTCGCTCAGCTACTCCAGCGTCAAACTCAAAGGACTGCTGCTGGAGTACTGCGGCAGGATCAGACAAATATTCAGACACCTTGTCAGCAAAAATCATGAGTCCATAGTCAGTTTTGCCTCGGATGGCTCTGCCTACGCACTGAGCCGCGTGGCGCATGGCGTCAAACGTCAGAAAGTCGTTCTCCCTGATCTGAAACTGATCCCGAAGGTACTCCAGCCGAGCCTGAGTCGAGTCACAGAGAGAGAAAAACCCTTAGGGAATCATGACAAAGCTATCCAGACTGAGAAAAGGGAAAGAACACAAACTAAAATGTGTGGTTTTGTTCCTCATTTGATAATATAAATCCTTAAATAGCAAACATCACAGCTCAAACACAAAATATGAATAGATTTAACTTTCTGAGCTTTGACCTCACACAGAGGTGATTCTGACCTTTAGGATGCGGCTCTGTGTATAAACATACGGCACTCCAAACATGATGACAGCACGGCCATAATGGTGCACTGAACAGAAAACACAACGAGACTCAGAGTCAGCGACAAAGCGCATGTTTGCGTCACCTCATCGTCTCCAGCCGCGCAGGATTCTTCTTCTGCTGTTTGCTTTAATTTGTCCTGCTGGAGCCGCACAGAGCAACCCGATGACTTACCGAAATCGATCCCTTCAGACACTTTTCCTCTGGCCACAGACAGGAGGATGGCTCCTCGGCCGTTCTCACACGCCTAAACAGCAGAGACAGAAAGGTCAAAGGTCAAAGTCTGTCAACACAAAAGACCTGAACATCTGTTTGTTTGTTCACGGCTCAATTTATGATTTTGGTCTCTTTGTTCTCTCTGTTAGTTAAATGCTACTACAATAATCGGTCTGACCTCTTGGTATTTCTCCAGGGCCATGCTCGTCTCTGCAGCATCCTGAGTCTCGATGAAGATCAGCTTGTTTCTCTGGATATTCTCCAGGATACCCTGCAAGCGAACGTGACCCCAGAAACAACAAAAACACACAAAATTAATTTATTATTAATATATTACCGTAATTGTCGGGCTATAAGCCGCTACTTTTTGCACAAGCTTTGAACCCTGCGGCTTTTAGTCAGGTGCGGCTTTTCTATGGATTGGCCATGATTTTTGTGATATCGTAAGACGATTTGTTTTGTTAGTTCCACTGTTGTACGGCACTACGTTGCCTGGCGGAAGGGCATGTGATCAGACACACAGTATCGGGGTTCAAGAGTGGTATGTTGGTCACATGTCCATCCGCCAGGCAACATAGTGCCGTACAAGTAGCGCGAAAAACAAACTTCAAAGTAGCGCTACGCGTTCAGCGGGAGGCGTGGATGACGAGCGGCGATAAACTTGCGAAAAGCAAGTTATGCTCAACTCCACCAGTGGAATCTGACCGCGTGAAAAAGTGTGAAAACATCCATGATCACCAACGGATTTTGAAGGGCTGGACTGCTGCATGATGGAGAGGAGGACACCGCCACGGCCCTTCAGAGGGTGTTCGACT